TTTCCAGGTGTGCTGTCAGCATGAGCCATGACTGGCTTGGGATGAAAGAGGCAAAGCTGTTCCTAGATCTGGACTTGTCTGCATCGTTTATTGCCCAGCAGCCATTAATCCTTTAATGCCATGTCACACTCTCAGCCTTCAGTTCCTCTCTAACCTTTTGGTCACCACTGGCCATTCCACTGCAGAAGGGGCTGAAGGACAGGGTGCAGGACTGCACTGTCCCTCCAGAGCCAAAGGCCCCAGGAAAGGGAAAGCAAAGAAAGCCACTGCAGAAGGACTTCAGTGGGTCAGCCCTCTCCAGACACACAGTAATGATGTGTGCTGGCAACATATAGGCACTTAAAGCAGCTTTATTCCCAAATAATTAAGAGACTTCTCCAGCTATTCACTGCAGCACCTTTTGTAACGCAAGTGTCCAACAGCACTGCATCACAGGAATACAGCGGCAATCCAACCCCTGTCACTCCACAGTGGCTGCACACACAGAAAGATTTTTGATCCTCTCCCAATCCCTTTACCATAAACTGAGGCACTCCCAAGAGCCATGTAGATATCTCAGCTCCTTCCACCCCCCCAGCAGACTGTTGATCTCAGTGTTACCTTACAGCAATAGCCCTCACAGGTGATGTGCTGAGTAAGTGAAAAAGTCGATTGAAAACACATTTATTGCCAACAAGGAAATGGACTGTAGGGAAACACAGGAGAGTATTCTGAAGCTGCATGGACTGCCACAGCACTTTCAGCTTTCGGGTGAGGAAGTACCTTGCAAGGCAGGCATTAGATCTTCAGCAGCCTAACAGATGCCTTTCTTATTCCAAGGATACACATAAATACAGTTCCCCTACTGCAATAGAAAGGAAGTGATACCTGATCCATACCACCTCTTTTTCAGGTAATTGAGCTTCAAAACTGAAGCAGAAAAGCTGCCAGCAAAACTTGCACATCTTTGTGCTACAGTTAGTCCATAACTAGTCTGCATCTGTTATCTCTACAGTTTTTATTAGCTCATGTTTACTTTGGCTGCACATCCAAGCAGGGTGAGAGAGAAAAATCTTGGACTCTCAACAATGGCCAAGCAGTTTAATCTGCCACTGGGGACAATGACTTGACTCCTATTGGCGTGTAGCGCTGGCAGGGTCAAGTGTAACATGTGCTGAAGGAAGCACTAGGGAAGTAGATCTGTGACTGTTCCAACAACACTGAGCATTTCCTTGAGCTATTCAGAGGTTCCTTTTCCCCTTTTGTATAGAGAAAACAGCTCCAGCTGTCCAGTCACCTGCGCTGGCTTCTCCACTCACTGGATTAATGACACTGGTGGCTGCCAAGAGCTCCAGGTTAGATACAGCACATTCCTCACAGCTCAGACATTCAAAGCTAAGTTAGGAAGCAGTCAAGATCATGTCCTTGGCATCAGCACCAGGTTGGTGCTGGAAGATAATTTATATTCCTGAACAGAACTGGCACTGGGCAGGTTGGGCATAAACATCAACAAACCCTTGTTCGGGCAATTACACCAATCAGAGGGGTCCAGAGTTAACAGTTATCCATGCTGCTGATTTAATAATATTTTTTTTGTATTTGAGAAGTTCAAAATACTTCACATTAAAGAACTCTGCAGCTTGCAAGCCTGGGACAATCTACAGTAATATATTCAGAGGCAAGTAAAAAATGAAATGAGTTAATGTTAACAGTCAGATGACCACAGGCCAAATCAAGCCAGACTGCACTTAGAAGAACATAAATTTCAGCATTTCTATTCCATTGCTATTTCGATTCTGTGTCAAGACATTTCTAAATAACTCCTGATTAACTATTAATTTAGCCCCGATACGATATGTCTTTCTGATTCCTCCCAGAGTAATATTATCCTCTTCATGGGCCCCTGGGAGTAAGGGCAGAATCATTTTTTGTAACTGTTCTCCATTTAGCAACTACCAACAGACACAACGTGGTCACTCAGCAGAGGCAGTTCTGGGGTGAAATACAGGAAGGTAAAGCCATATGGCATTCTTCAATTTCCCCTTTCCTTTCACAATCAGACCCTTGATATTTTCTTCAACAGGAAAACTGACACTCCCCCCTCCCTGTAAATTGCTGACAATTGTATTTTACACCTGGCCAAAACCAGAACAAAATGGAAGGAAGAGATGAAACAAAGACCAAGGACTTTTCTCAGCAACTACGTCTCCACAGAATGGAGCATTTTCCTTACCACCACTTCTGAGTGGACAGAGTTCAGTAACCACAGCCCAGCCTTCGTGGGAAGTGCCCCCTCCTCGCTGGCAAGTGACTGCAGGACAGTGCCTGTGGCAGCAGCTTCCAGAGTGCAGCCAGAGCCATGGGACCCACAAAACCAGCACAGCCTGTGCAGCTGGGCCCCTCTGCCTGCAACTGCCCAGCCTGCACACTCACTTCAAAAGTGACCCTAAACTCTTGGTAGTAATCTGAAGATTAAATACTACTGGTAAAGCTTCTCTGCCCCCTAACAACTAGTCTCCCTTTCCTATAAACAGCTGATATCTGGGGTTAGAGCTGTCCACCCCTTGTTTGTTTTTTGTTTTTATGGAGTAAAACATTTAAATTGATTTTGATGACATCACAGAAGCAAAACACTGTCGAGTTCTGACTTTTTCTAGTTTGGCCACAGAAATGACACCTATTTCAGCAGAAGTTGCCCAAGTCCCCTGAGGAATGAGGTGTAGCCGCTTGCACTCTGAGCAAAACTGCAAACAAGCACCTTCCTGCCAGAGCACCCGGGCACTCTGAGAACAGCCCATGCCAACCAGGGCTACTGAATACTGAACACTGGAGGAGAAACAGTTTCTTACTTGAGCAATTACAAGGAATGATGAAGCTGTTTGTCCAGTTAAGAGGTTTGGTTTTTATTGAGACCAGCCAGCCTGCAGTTTTCTGTAAACCCTTCTTTATCACACAAAATGTGAAGTAGAGCAACAAGGTTTAACTCCTGTCTCTGTCCTGAGGCTACTACTGCAACTGGGGTCTTCAAACACGGCCTCACGCAACCTGTGGGCAGCAAAAATCCCACAGATATCAACCAGGATCCCGGTGAGCCACTAACAAAGTCTTGTGCATCAGTGCGGCAATTATCATAGAAGTCCTTTCTCAGGGAAGGTGGGGGGGGAATCACTTTGAGCACTGAGAGTAATCAATTTGTTCCATCTTCCTGCTGGCATTTCAAACACCAGCCGGCCATGTAACAGCACCAGCTCAGCCACAATTAGTAACACAGGAGAAAGCATCCGACCTCACCCAGCAAGCAACAGAGCAAGTCCTGGCTGTGAACGGAATCCAGTGCTTCCAAAGTCAGTGCACTGGGAATTTTGGTCACCTGCCTGCAGAGAAGTTTTTTCTGGCTCCATCAGTGAAGGGTTCACCTCGGTCTTAAAGCTGCTAGGTCCAAAACCAGAAAAGAAGACCACTGAGCTCATAACACTGGGAAAATGATTGACCAGCAAAGGCTGCACCGTGGCACAGTTCACAGGGCTTCCTGCTAGGGAATTCTGGCTATTTCCGAACTCCGCCCTGCCTCCGCTGTGTCCCACCACTCCCTACGAACAGGTTTAAGGAGTCCTTATTCCAAAATATACCTTTTGCTGTACAGCATCCGCTATAATTAGTGACCACAACTAACCATATTGCCTATATTTTTGTCTCCTGTGCTATACCACCATTCTTAAAAGTGTACAAAATTACAGACCCACCTGGGTAAGAATGAAACTACAGCTGACAACTCTGTGCCTCTAAAGAAGTGGACAGCAAGAAAAGCAAGAGAACCATATGGTCTGCATCCTAGGAAAAGGAAAAAGGATGGCACAAAAATAAGACAGAAGTATTGGACTTCCCCTTTCCTGCTTTCCTGCCTATCAAGAAGTTAAACCACAAATTGGCAAAAGACATTAGGGAAATGTGGCAGCTTCAACACCTGGGCAGCTAGGAGAGCCACAGATTTCTAATGCTTGGTAGAGGAGTCAGAAAAGCAAAAGGATTCTCCCTGCACTCTTCCCTAGAGGCCTGTGCTGCCAGCAGGATGCTGCATCCACCAGAGCTTTGCCCTTCCCTCTGCTCCTAGAATAGGTTTTCCACTTTGGAAAGATTTCTTTATGGTTTTCAAAACTGAGAAACAGTGAACGTAGCAAATTCAGATTTAAGTACAGAGACCTCAGTATCAAATCCTGCCCTGTGAAGATAAGTATGTGCCATCCAACCCGGCATGTGCCATCCATTTGTGAGTCTGTGGAGAGAAATTCCTACCACCACACTTCACCCAGGCTAACTGGAACATGTATCCAACATCTCCAAGAGTTCTCATGAAGGAGTCAAAGTGATTAATGTAACTACAGGTTTAGAACTGGAAATGGATAAAGAGAACGTTAAAAACGGTACCTGTAAGAAAACACAATCTGAAACACAACTGTGTTGAGCAAAATAAAAATAAATTTCCAAAGATCCTGAGTTATTTTTTAATGCGAGACCCAAACTGTGACTTCCGAGTCTTTGTCTAACACACACACACACACACAAAGCAGTCTTTTCCCATAGCTACCCTGGGATTCTCTGGAAAAACAGCAACCACTAGGGATATGTTGAAAATTTTCCTGTGCTGCGTTTGAGCATTTGGTTATAATTTACTCCCGGCTCTGTTGGTTGGGTAAAGTCTCAGCGCTCTCTTCATAGAACACACCTCAAGCTCTCAACTTCAATCTGGGAAAGGGGCATGGCCCGAAGACTTTGGTTTTTCCCTTTTGGAAGTCGGTGTGAGCGGGGCAGCCCGGAGCGGAGCTCTCCGTGCCGGTACCACCACCATTCCCGGGGGATGCCGCGACCCCAGGGCGGCACGGGGGACACGGCGATTTTCCTTCAGCCCCCCGGAGCAGCCCCGCCCGACCCCCCCGGGCCTGTGGGGCCACAGCGGGCGGCGGCTCCCGCTCCCGGCCCCAGCCCCGGCCCCAGCCCCGGCCCCGGCCCCGGCCCCGGCCCACCTGGTGGCTGTCCCGGGGCCGCGGTCCCGCTCCGTGCGCCCTGGCGATGGACAGGCTAAGCTGGGCTCGGCTGGCCTCGACTCAGCGCTGCCGCCCAGCCCCGAGGGCGGAGCCCGGCCCGGGGCGGGGCCGGGAGCGGCCCAACCGGTGCCCGCCCCGCACAACGCTGGGGCGGCGGGAGGCGATGCCTCGCCACGACCGGGGGCGAGCGGAGCGGTCCCGCCCGCCCGGCAACGGGATGAGCCCCGTCCTGAGGCGCCTCCCGTGGGCAGGACCGGGAGCTCCGAGGGAGGGCAGCGCCCGCTCCCGCCGCTGCCGACGGGCCGGGCCGGGCCGGGCCGGGCCGGGCCCTGGGGAGCTCTGGAGGGCGGCGGGACCCGCCCGCGCGGGGTCCCCGCGGGGCCGCGCTCGGGGCCGCGCGCGCGCTCCCGCCGTCGCCACGGCGACAGCGCCGCCTGGCGGGGCTGCGCGCGCCGCCTCCGGCCCCTGAGCCCAGGCCCCGCCCGTTCCGGCGCGCGCGGCCCGCGTGTCCCCGCGCGGCCCTGAGAGCGGGAGCGACCCCCGGGCCGGGCCCTCGGAGCCGCCGAAGCCATGTCGGCCGCCTTCAGGAAAGCCGCCAAGGCGCGGCAGCGCCCGCACCGCGAGCGGGCCCAGGTCAGTGCGCCGGGCCGGGCTGGGCCGGGCCCCGTGCGCGCCGCCCGCGCTCTCGGCCCCCTCACGCTCCCCGGCCCCCCTCACGCTCCCCTCTTTCCGTAGCCCGCCGCTCGGACGAAGCTGGGCTTGCTGGAGAAGAAAAAGGACTACCGGCTCCGCGCGCAGTGAGTGCGGCCGCTCCGGGCCCCGAGCCGTTCCCTGCCCTGTCTCCGAGCTCGGACCATCGCTGGGAAGGACTCAGCCCCTCACCGGGGCTGTGAACACCGAGAAACTGCTGAACAACTGATTGCTGTTTTTTTTCTCCCCAGTGACTACCACAAGAAGCAGAATGCTCTCAGAGCGCTGCAGAAGAAAGCTCTGGACAAGAACCCTGATGAGTTCTACTTCAAAATGATACGTGCAGAGCTCAAAGTGAGAAGCTCCACTGCCTTCAATGCTCTGTTGCTCTAAGTAACATTTTCCCCCCTGTCTTGTTTTGATTTTAATTTATGAATTAGGAGGTAAATTAGCAAAATTGGTTTGGTGCCTGTGGAAGGCTTTGAAGAAAATGAGGGGCAAAGGCCAAAGAAGTTCTGCTGTTGTTATCAGGCCTCAGCAGTGCACTCCGGATGGATGGGCTGTCGGTAAGTGCTGTATGTGTCTGGTTGTAGGATGGAGTCCATGTAATAAAGCAGCCAAAGGATGAAGTGACCCCGGAGCAGGTGAAGTTGATGAGGACGCAGGATATTAAATACGTAGAAATGAAAAGAGTGGCAGAAGCCAAGGTAATACCTCACTTTTTGGTGTTTTCTAGTTTCCTCAGAATTGTTTTTTGCAGCGTTGTTCTTGTCGTTGTTGCTGGTTATTGCGTTTGTTTAGTGAAATCTGATTTGTACAATACTGGAAAGGACAATGGAAATGTCAGTGAAGTGCTAGATACAGAATCTAAAGGTGTGATGAATATCAAAAATGACACCTGCATTACTATAAAATATGATCATTTTAATGTAAATTTCAGACATTAAACATGTACCCCTGCTTTACATGTTCGTAAGGAAATCATAGAATTGCTGAGGTTGAAAAAGCCCTTTCAGATCATCAGGTCCAACTGTTCACCCAGCACTGCCGTGGTCACCACTAGCCTGTGTCGCCAGGTGCCACAGCCACATGATTTTTGAACCCTTCCAGGGATGGTGATTCCACCATTTTCCTGGACAGCCTGTTACACTGCTTGACCATCGTTTCAGAGTAGAAATTTTCCCTGAAAATACCCAACCTGAACCTCCCTGGCACAGCTTGAGGCGGTTTACTCTTGTCCTGTCACTTGTTACCTGAGAGAAGTGACCGACCTCCACCTGGCCCCACCCTTCTGCTAGGAAATTATAGAGAGTGAGAGGGTCTCCCAGTTGAGGAGAATAATCTCAGGTGGGTTGTTGGAATATGGTAGGCGGGCAATCCATGGAAATACAGTCCTCTTCTGAGAGCCTTGTGTACTCTGATGTTGATGTACAAATCAGAATCAACTTGTCACTGCAGACAAAAAATCAAAGCAAGCCAGCTTTGGACTTGCCTTCATGCTTTTTCTGGTGGTTACATGGCAATCGTTCCCTTTTGCCATACAGAATGCTCCATTTTGCAGTTGGATGTGTGAATTTTGACTGGGTAACAGCAGGAATCGCTGTGACCCTCTGCCTGCAAAGGTCGTGAAGACATGTCATAAATATAGATCAGATGTGTTTTTAAAGATGAAAAAGGAAGGAGAAGTTCAAGTGTGTGTAGCCTCGAGGAACAGACAGAAATGTCCTCGGGGGAGACGTGATTTTACTCGCTCCGAATTCGGCCAAACTTGGGCTTTTCGCAGAAAATCGAGCGGCTGAAGGCAGAGCTCCACCTGCTGGACGCGGCGGGAAGCGCCCCGGCCCGGCACCTCTTCTTCGTGGACACTGAGCGCGAAGGTGAGGCTTGAACGGGGCTGACAGAGAACTAGTTCTGTCACGTGTTATTGTGTGCTGTCATAAAAAGAGACTTTCTTTTCCCCCAGGAGTAAGAATTCAGGTGCTCTAGAAATCCCTTTTGGTTAGTAGCTGAGATGTCAGTTCTGCAGTAGTCATTTTGCTGGGGGTCTTGTAGCTGACTGTAGCGATATGTATGGAAGTTTTGCTGAGCAAAGGAGTCCATGGGAGTATATTCTTAGGGTTTTTTTCCTTTTATTTATAGTTCAGGAGTTTGATATTGCCACTCAGCTGGACACTGTTCCCGAACTCGTAGACAGAGTGTACAACCGACCAACCATTGCAACGCTGCAGAGAGAGACACTAAAGGGAGCTACTGATCCTGCCCACCTAAAGGTACTGCCACTGTTTGTATTACAGAGCTCTTCTTGTTTTCCATCTCATATAAAAAGTACTACAGAGGATTCATTGCACTGTTGTGGAGGAGAACAAAATTGTTCTGTTGTCTTAAACTTTTATTGGTGATACAAGGCAGTAGTGGATGTCACTTAATCACCAAGTGCCTGGAGGCTGCAGTCAGATCTGGACTGACGAGGAGAACTCTTTCAGTGCATTCTAGTCCATGGTGGGTTATATATCACAAGTTGTGATGTACAGGCTGGAACAGAGTGGTGTGGGTCTGATGAGGCAGTTTTAAGTGTCATTTTTTTTTCAGCATTCACTGTTGAGTCTTCCATCCTACCATCACAAAACCCTTGTACACCTGAATAGGTATTTGAAGAAGCTTATTCCAACACAGATATTTCTATTGCTGGGTTTCTGATCTTACGGTATTTTTCAGTTCGGTTCGGAGCCCAAAGTGACTTGAGATTAGTCTGCCCCCTTTCCTTCTTAAAGCCATTTAAGCTGTAGTCTCACTTCCTCCTTTTCCTAATTTGAATTGTTTCATGATTTTTTCAGCATTAATTGGTTATGCAATCAGCTTTGCTACTGTATCACAGTATCACAGTAGTTTTGTCCTGGAAGTAGCTACACAGCTTTAAGGCTGCAGATACTGTTCAGTTAGTTCAGATCTATTGGACAGTCTGAGTATAAGTTGGTGTAAGGTAAAAATAGTTGTCTTAAAATTGCCAACTGGTAAATTTGTAACCTGTTTTTTCTGACTCAGATGTCAAATAACAAACACCCTGTGGTCCCTTTCCTCCTGCCAGCTGTTTCAGTTTGGCTTGTAACTAAAGCAGTTGGACAAGTCATAGACTGACAAGTTTTCTCTTCTAAATGTCTGAGTCATATTTTAAGCATGTTGGGATCTGTTCTCCTGAATTTAATTACTTAAATCACACCTGCAGTAATATGATTTCTGTGCTGGGAAAGCCATCCACTCTCGTTAGGCAAACGTGACCCAACAAGTTGCATTTTGAGGGGCCTCTGCAGTCTCTAAGCACTTCAGGAATTGGTCTCTGGTCTGACCTTATTTTTTTCCCCCTCCTGTGGATAAAGTGGTTTTAATTAGGAAGTTTAATGTTCTCATGTGCTCAACATTGAAATTCAGAAGATTTAGACCATCTCTGTCTTAAAACAGTTTTGGTTTTTTTTCCTGCAGAAATTAGCCCAGCAGAGGAAGAACCAGTATGACCTCCTGAGGCAGCGCATCGAGAGAGAGAAGGCCATGTTTGTCATCACACAGAAAATCCAGACACGGAAAGATCTCCTGGTGAGGGATTTGGTTCTGATTCTGCAAATCTGTTAAGGTCATTGGGGCTGGTATTGTATATGTTGTTGTGTATATATATGTGTGTGTTGTATATGTTTCTTCATTCTGGTTTTATAGTGACACTTCCAGAGAACTTCTAAAGATAAGTAATCCTCTTTTAGTATGGAAAAAGCAAGGAGATGAAGCATTACAGTAAATTATGTCTGCTACTCCAAGTCTCACCTTGTGAGCAAGGACAAAGACTCAACTGTGAAATTGTGCTCACAAGTAATTTCTCAAGCACTAAATGAATACTTTCAGGAGTCAGAGGCAAGGAACCATTTCTGTAGGTTACAAGAAACTCTTAAAAATCCAAATGACAACAAAAATTACTTGTCTCAATCGGAAACTCCTTTTCACTGGTGCTTTTGAGCAAACCAGACTGTGCCTGACAGCCTGAAGAGGAAAAGAGCAGATGAAATTTTAATTCCCTCCTAAACAGTTCAAAGTGACCATTTTTCACTAATGGTCAGACCCAGACAGGGATTGATTTATATGAGAGTGGGTGGGGTGTTTTTCTTCTTGCATGCCAGCAAATATTTGTTCTTTTTTCCAGGACAAAACTCATAAAGTAAAGGTGAAAAAAGAAACAACAACTGGTCCAGCTATTTACAAATTCAAGTTTCAGCGGAAGCGTTAGCCATTCCATTGAATAATTGTTACAGTCTTTGCTCAGAAAGGAGGGGGCTTCTCCCTTGCAGGAGGGCTGGTGCCAGCTTGCTTTTCTCTGCAGCCCAGCAGTTTGTTCAAACAAATTACTGTGGGCCTGTGGTAGCCATAAT